ATGGGGTTTCATGTCTTGTTGAATCTCAACGGAAGATATTTGTGCAGCCTAGAGAGGAATATGGCAAAGTAGTTTCGATCATTGCTTAAAGATATGGAAACGACTGACAGATTGTCTGGTTATCAAGGAAGTTTTAAACTGAGCGCTTTCACCTCCCGAAGTCCCGCGGGACAACTCGCTGCGTTCAGGATGTCATGGGAAGTTATGTGGATAAATTGTAACCAATGCGATCGAACGACACTACCTACTTCAAATCAGAACTGGAAATCATACACTGCATTTTGTTACACCGAGACAATAATATCCAATTCTACTATTACGAATGCACCTCACTTGATTATTTCTTGTACATTACTTTATTCATTGAATGAGTTAAATGTTTCCTTTAGAGATAACAAGAAAACACTCATTAATTAGCCAGTTGAGAGTCTCATTGGACAGGAATGGATTTTTTGCCGTTCATATCTGTTTTGAAATGGTCATATAGTTTGCTCGTTTGTTTAAATTATCATTATTGTGAGACAGTAAAACTTCGATTTAACGAAGTGCTGAGGGGACCGGGGAAATTGGTTTATTATCGAAAACCTAGACCTAACGAATTTGCGGAAAAGCAACCAAAATGTCCGTTATATCGGGGTGTAGTTGATAACTGTTATTGTTTTTGTGTGTGTGTGTGTGGCATGACGTTGTGCTTTAATGCCTATATGAAGTTATAGTACACTGTCCAGATCTGTACATAGCTACAGCACCGGAAATTAAACTGGTCCATAAAATTTTAACGATTGCAACTGGCTTGTCAAATGTCAGCATGAAAAGGTTAATGAATAGCGCAACCGAACAGAAACTTTAAACAAAAGAGAACCACTTTACTTTACTACTAAAATTGCTAATCAAGAAGCCCAATCAAAAATTCTTAATTATTATTATGATATGTAATTTTGCTCACTGTATTTGTAGACAGACGTTACCTGTTTTAGCGGTTTTGATGTTATGGCTCGGATTTTGATGTCACCGTCAAGCGTTGCATCTAAAGAAAGTTCCACGAAGTCTTTAAAGCGCTGACTATACTCTTGTAAAGTGACATGCTCAGGAGCAATATCATCTGATAACACATCAGAGAAGGCACGAAGGAAAAGAGGACGCAATTTCTTAACTTTTCCTCCCTTCTTAAAGTCAACCGTCCGCTTGGTTTCCTCATAAGTCACGTGGATACTTATATTCTTACCACTTGGAGGTTTAGACATCTCGTGATTTCTGTCAAAGAAATGAGTTTAAGTAGTCAGTGTTCTATTCATGTTTGCATCTTTGCTGGATCTCTTTGAAAGCATTACAGCCTTATGCTATTGCAGATACGTTGTACATCTGCCAGCAATGGCTTTAGTTCCTGTAACTGTCATATCGATCGGCCAATACCAATCGATATCATTTAACAATTAGTCTTCAGTCGATATCGATTAGCGAGGTAAGCTGTGCTATGAATTGTCCTTAATCTCGATTTCCATCCATCGCGATATTGATCGCAACAGTTCAAAATAATTGGCTTTTTTACGGTCCATATTTCCACAAGATATTATTGTAGTTTGGTATGGAAATTTCACAAGCGTAGAGTGAGAATCTTACCGAATCATGCCCGTNGTTGTCAACAATAACGAGAGCACAATTTCAAGTTGACAGTCGTCTGCTGAGGTCGGGGTCTGTTTGCTCGGGTTGCGACCGCAATCACTAATACGAACACGGCAGACGCGTGTTTCCGCGCGGCTTTCCACAGGAAAGTTCACACAAACCAACCATTCGTACACAGTGAGGTTTCATCGCTTCTTTCAAATGACACCGAGAAACACTTCGGCTACCGGTAATGGATCGGGACTGATAGGAGATGATATTTGAAGGGAAGACAAACAGATGTCCTAACGATAATGATAGTGAAAGTGCATTTGATTCTAAAAAGCAAGAGTGAAAATTGCTTTCGTACAACCTCAAACGACTTGAAAGTAAATTTATGGTTGACATACTAATAGAGTGTGCGAAAGCCAGTTGAAGAGGTCAATTATAGGCCTGGATGTTATTTAGGACGCACGATTTACATTCTGGAAGAAAGTTTTCTAAAGATTTCACCCCACTCTGCTAGTATCAATAGAAGGAAGGGATTAGATGATAAATGGGGGGGGCGGACGGGGGGGGGCAAAAGGGTACGAGTGACATTCTGTTTGGGTATTAGGACTGAGTATTTGCGTAATATGAATATGAATTTCTTCGGTTACTGTTTTGCATTTCACTGTAAAAAAGACCGAGTTACATTAACTTGCAACCGCAGGCTGAAATTGTTTACACCTGACAAGTTAACGGATAAACTCATGGTTGTCACGTGTCAGGGAAATGTCTGGAAAGGATAAATTGCTTCAAGGTCAAGGAAAAGTCATTGAATTACACTTTGAGTTAGGGAAAGTTTACACATTCAAAAGAAGTCAGGAAAAAGTTAAATTTCAAGTTATCTTGACTTGGCCGTCTTCATGGTGGAAGATGATGACACATTTTTGTTATGTCATTGTTACTTGTGCACATTTCCTAGTACAGTTCACAGATTCCTGACCAGCAGATCAATTTCCTTTGTAATGCAAGTTCAGTTTAGTTTGTGAATGTAATCATAAATTTTCACTTTTCTTCTATTTTTATGTTTCCTATCAATTTAAATTGTTTGGTACATTTCACGGGGATGACAGTTGTTTAGAATGGTAAAATGTTGTTTAATGAAATTGAACGACAGGCTGATGTTGGGTTTCATAGAAAATCAGTCCTTTTATTCCACGCACCTAAAAGAAAGTTTCTCTTGTCCTATGTGACTTCGTCTCTTGTGCATATATGAGGTCATGGAAAGAAAAATTTTCAGCTGTAAGAGAGGACTATTTGAAGCAAACGAGTTTCTCGTTTCAAAATTTTTTTTCTAGAGGTAAACATTACCCTTCGCTCTTGAATACATCGAACGTTAGTAGCTTAATGCGGCTCTTCTTTGGGGGTTTTGGGTAACATCCCGTCCCATCCCATCCAGAAGATGAGCTGCGAAGCATACTTATCGAACGGTGGCCATTGCAGACTAATCATGAAATTTTAAAATTTTTTTGCAGTCTTCTGCCCTAAACATGCCTACTGTCGCTCCCATCGTTTTATATGGCGGGTTTTTTCCTTTTTTCTGTGTACCCTATCTCTTCTCTTTCTGTCGTTAGTTGAAATAGAAATTGATTTCAAGTGTTGTAAACTTTCCTCTTATATTTCTTTTATTAAAAGGCGTGTTCTTCCTTACAAACAGAGGGAAATAGACGTCCATCTCGAAGGCTTGAAAACGTCGAAGGCACTCTTTAGTAGCTGAATTGTTCCACTGACTCTGCTTAATTTCTCTATCAAAAAAGCTACAGGTAACATATGCCTCTAAAAGTTATGAAGAAAAGTCAAGGTGGTGAAAAGTTATGATCCTTATTCAGCTTTGAAGCCAGCTTTAAACAACTCTTTTTGCAATAAACAGAGCTTGAGGGTTGGGATAGTTAAGGTCAGCATTCTTCACCAATGTTGCTTTTCCAGTGTGATCGCATCCCAGGTATAGGCTCTTATCGTTCAGGTTTTGGAACATGGTGTAACCCCAGTAGTACAATGGCTCAAAGATACATTTTTTGCCGATTGGCTCACTAATCTTGACTTCCTGTTGAGATAGAAAAACCAGCAAATCTGACATAATTCTTTTCAGTTTGTTTATGTTAGACACTTACTAATCACAGAGATTACACATACAGTATGCAAAACCTAAAGTGGAACCATCTCCCTTGTAAATTATATGGGAATAACTTATTAATTTCAACTTAAACCTTGGTTGTTAAATATTAAAAAAATTCTGCCCTGGAAGGGGTTTGAACCCGTGCCTCCTAGCCATCATCAAAGTCAAAATATGTGTAGTTGTGACATGGATGTTAGTAACATAAATTTAAGGTGGCTCTAATTATTAGGCTAAAGTAATTACCGTCAGACCCACTTTCGTTGATGAGATCATAGCATAAGACCAGTCAGTCACTCAGGCAGTCACTCAGTCAGTTGGTCAGCTGGCCAGTAAGCCAGTCGGTTAGTCAGTCGGTCAATCAGGTGGTTGGTCAGATAGTGGGTCAGTCAGTGGGTCTGTTGGTCAGTCAGTCAGTCAGTCAGTCAGTCAGTCAGTTGGCCAGTCAGTCGTTGAGTCAGTCAGTCAGTCAGTCAGGTGTTCAGTCAGACAATGGGTCAGTCAACCAGTCGGTCGGTCGGTCGGTCGGTCGGTCGGTCGGTCAGTCGATCTTTAGAATTGAGGGACAAGTTCCTACAGAAACTTTGGTGCTGCGTCGGTTGTCGGGGGGGGGGATGGGTTATTACAAGATAAATTGGTTTTATCAAATGAGTTGATAATGTGAATTGGCCGCTGTAAAGAGTTCTCAAACTTAAGTTGACGTTTCGAGCGTGAGCCTTCAGAATCCTTCGTCTGTCAGTCCGTTCTTTAGTCATTTCGTCAATCTGTCAGTCAGAAAAGTTCTATTCGTCTTTGTGTCCAGTCGATTAGTTTTTGTCAATTCATGCGGTCTTTGGATCCGAGCAGATTGATGGTTCCTCTGCTCCTTACACTTCACCTCTTTACAAAATGCCACCTGTTATGTCGAGTTAGCTAGAATGAATAGTTTTTCTGGGACTTACTGTGGTGGTAATGTCATCTCCTTCTCCATTTCCAGTGAGGGCATAGTTCTTACCATCACTATCATCATGAAACAGAAGTGCCACATAGAAGGTCACAGAGCGCGTTTCATCAATGGTGGTCATAACAGCTGAAGGAAGTAGAGAAAGATAATTGTAGTAACCAACAGTAGCGGACAAGGACAGGATTTAATGGATCATTTCAGCATTTACATGTGTTACGTCAAAAGGTAATTTAGTTAAATAGGCCGAGGAAAGACAGACTTTAGTAATGAAGATGATAGTTATGATAGAAGTGACAGTTTTTCAATATATTAATGATGAAATTTATTTTAATGAGAATGATATAGAAAGGGTTAGCGACAATGACATCAAGAACGGAGACAGTGACGATGACAGTGATAACCACGATGGTAATGGTGATGATGCTTTTTAAATAATTTCCTCTGTTCCTGCTAAAACTTCGTGACGTCAAACTTACTGTTAGTTCCCCCGTTGAAATTCCCTTTACAATTCACTGTATTATTATGCGGATCACGTTCAATGCAGCCATCGTTTTTCTTGCTGACTGGGTTCCAAAGTTGGTAAGTGGTATTTATTATGATTGGATGAGGCCTTCCATACACCGGCAAACCTGGTACCACCATATGTGTTGGAACCCATGGATGCACCAAGTAACATTGGTGCCACCATTCGGGCCATCTTTGGGGTTTCATGTCTTGTTGAATCTCAACGGAAGATATTTGTGCAGCCTAGAGAGGAATGTGGCAAAATAGTTTTGATTATTGCTTTAAGATATGGAAACAACTGACAGATTGTCTGGTTATCAAGGAAATTTTAAAGTTGAAATGCCCAAATTGATCTGTGGATCCAACCTAGAACAAATTTAAATAGTATACAAATCATTTGCTGTCTATCATCGTCTCTATTTTATCCTAGGAAATAAAAGATATTGTACCTAGTTTCTGTCTGTAACACGCTATCTTCACGTGTTATTTACTGATTGAGAGAGAACACACGAGGTACATCCAGAAGTGGAAACAGAATCCAAAATTATAGTAGTACAACGGATCACGTGTATTAAGAATGGAATGATAAATTTCTTCATGAGTGATGTAAAGGGTAATATCCGCGGAGACTGTGCTCATTTTTTCATTGCATTCAACGTCAGGAAAACACAAACTATTCGCGGTGCGGTGTTATTCCAGTATTAGGGCATCTTCTTGGACTGACTAAGCACTTTGACCTCCCCTAGTCGCGCGGGATGACTCGCTTCGTTCACGATGCCATGGGGAGTTATGCGGATAAATTGTGACCAATTTGATCGAACGCCACTAGCTACTTAAAATCAGAACTGGAAATTAGACGCTAGTTTTTATTACGTCGAGACAAAAATATCCATTCCTTAGGTAAATTGAACGCACCTCACTAATCCTTGATTATTTCTTCTACATTATTTTATTCACTGAATGAATTAATTGTTTCCTTTAGAGGTAATAAGATAATACTCATTAATTAGTCAGTTGAGAATCTCTTTGGACAGGAATGGATTTTTTGCCATTCATGTCTGTTTTGACATAGTCACATACTTTACTTGTTTGTTTAATTCATTATTATGATGTTTTTTTTTTCTTTTTTGCTCACTGCATTGTAGACAGACATTACCTGTTTTAGCGATTTTGATGTTATGGCTCGGATTTTGATGTCATTGTTGAGCGTTGAATCTGAGCAAAGTTCCGCGAAGTCTTTAAAGTCCTCAAGATACTCTTGTAAAGTGACATGCTCAGGAGCAATATCACCCGTTAACACATCAGAGAAGGGGTGAAGGAAAAAAGGACGCAATTTCTTAACTTCTCCTCCCTTCTGAAAGACAACGATCCGCTTGGTTTCTCCAAAAGTCACGTGGATTCTTATCATCTTATCACTTGAATTCTTAGGCATCTCGTGATTTCTCTCAAAGAAAAGAGTCTAAGAAGTGTGTTGTCCTCTTGTTTGCATCTTTGCTGGATCTTTTGGAAAGCATGGCATTCTTCTTTGGCAGCCTTACGTTAGTGCAATTACGTTGTACATCTACTAGCAATGGATTCAGTTCCTGTAACTTTCTTATCAATTGGCCAATACCAATCAATTGAATTAATTAATAGGTGTCAGTCTATATCGATTAGCGAGGTAACCTGTGGTATGACTTGTCCTTAATCTCGAATACTTAATGCGCGTTCATTCGTGATATCACAACAGCTCAAAATGATCGGCTTTTTTACGGTCCATAGTTACATAAGATTTTGTTGTAGTTTGGAGCGGGAATTTCACAAGCGTGGCGTGAGAATCTTACAGAATTATATCTGTCAGCAAAAGGAAAGGTTATTTACTTTTTTGGCGTGACATTGTGACGCTACACGAACTGTTCGTACTGCATGCATGTTCGTCTGAACATGCATAGCAGAGTACCGGAGGAACAAAGAACAGTTATTGAGGCTGCGCCAGTTTGCACTCGTTTCCAGCTCGTTTTCACTTGGTACATTGTATACCCTATGCCCACACTTTGTAATAACGACGAAGTTACGTTCATACGAAGCTCTCGACAGCTTCAGGAAATAAAATGATGACTGACAACAATGAAATGTTCACCACAGAAATATCATAACCTAACTTAAATCTAATGTGTCCGAGGCGTGTGTAATACGAGGGACCTTGAGCAGTCAAGATGGCAACGCCCAGGAAGACGTCGGTTAAAAAATGAAATCCCACTTTTGATTAGAATTTGGTAACTGGCTGCATGTGTTTACCGTCTCATACGGCGCTACACCTCAACTTTAGCTCAACGTATAGAAGTAGCGTTGAGTTCCAAATGGAAATGAAAATAATTTACTGTTGCGGTTTCCCTTCGCGTTGGACGCAAATTTTGGTGGTTGCACCGGTTGCTGTTTTGCAAAGGACGGCTAAGAAATGTACTAAGTTTTCAAACGCACGTACTGGGCTATTGTTCTGCCAATAATATCTTTTTTTCCCACCTCTTCGTTGCCGTCGCCGTCGTGGTTTGCTTAAGGTCCCTACTAGCTGGTGGAAAGGACGTGCGATGTTTTTTTAACCCTTACATAGACTTAATCAGTAAGAGTCTTCTGTACTTGTTGTTCTGGGGGATCCTTACGCAAGCGAGATCGGTCTGGCACAGCTCCTTCTGAAATAAGAGTTCGTCTGCTGCGTTTAAATAGCTGTAGTTATATATAACTTGACCTGGAGCGATTAACCCATTACCGATATTCCTTGCGTGCCAGTGCATTTGTTATCAAAACAGTTGGGCTTGAAGGGAAGTTTCTTAGTTTCGCTGAAATACCGGAAAGCGATGAACGAAGACGGAATTTTCGTCGCAGTCAGTCTTCTTTGCTTTCTTTGAGGAGCGCCACAGCGAATTCTCCTCGCCGTCCTTATGACGTCTTTGATTGGTTTAATACTCGCCATGTTTTTGAAAGTGGCATTTTTTTTTCTGAGCCTATTAAAAAGTGCCGATTGGATCACAAATTTGCAGAGAACTGGATTTGCCATAACATTTCTGCTTATACTCCTTCAAATTGTTGCCAATTTTTTTCATCTTCGTTCCATATAGCTATCTCGGTTGTTTATTTTATATTACAGAAATTGATATGCGGAACACGTTCCTTTTGCTTTACCTAAATTGCGAAGGTATGCCCGGAGGTGATAGAGCGTTTCCCTATCGACAGGAAGTGTGACGTATCAACATGACTGTTGGCAACGCATGAGTGACAATCTGAAGGAAATCACTCAATATTATTTCAACTTCCCGTTTTGTGGGAATATGAAAAATCCCCCAAAACATTTTCAACATGTGCTGATCAACGTAAAGATAATTTGTCTGTTCTTAACTTTCAACCCTGTGTAGGAAATTTTACAAGGGAAATATGGAATAGGAGAGTCGTGTTTACATGGCAGTATGTATTTCTTGTTGTCAATTAAACGTTTTGGAATTTTAATAATGTCTTCCTGTTTCCCACCCTTTTATCCATGATTAAACTAAGAATTTTCATTCCAAAGTCATAAAAGATTTTGTAACCAGAAACTTCGCACTCGATGACGTAGTCCATGGCCAGTAATTAAGTAAAAACGGAAATAATTGAATCGATGTCCCTCCGTGTCTTGAGCAGTTGAACCAGTTGATAATCGGAACGGGTTTTTCTCCAGCTAAATATATACAGATGAATTTACGTAGGAAATTGGAAGTTTTAATTTTTCTCAACCTAATGGAGATGGGGTCGCTATTTGTATTCGTGAAACTCTGGATCGTGTGATATTTTAATTCTTATTAATTTGTGGATAGGCGCTATATGAATAATTTTGTTATTATTATTATTGAAGAGGCTGTTAAGTTCGACGGTCACATGAGAGAGCTTCAAATCAATTCGGCGAAAGGATTTTACTCTTGCATTCGCATTCAGCTTTCATACCATAAAAACCGACCCGCAATTGGTAACGCATTGTTTTGCACCTGGGATTGATCCTGTGAACGATAACTTATCGTCAAATGTGGGAGGCGGTGAGACCTAAGTAGAGTAACTTTACCAAATATCGTGTCCGCCGACGTCGTGTGAACTTTAATCCTAACCGTGTTTTCTTATCTTTTGTGTGACTGATAAGCCGTTAAGACGTGGATCACGTCACATAGAATGTTAACATTTGAATGTACTTACCCTTTGAAGGAAAGGATTTTGTAAAGAAAGATGTTTTCGTCTAGTAATTAGACTTTCTCAAAGTCCGTTTNAATGTCTTCCTGCTTCCCACCCTTTTATCAATTAGATTAAAAATTTTCTTTCGAAAGTCATAAAAGATTTTGTAATCAGGAACTTCACACTCGATGACTTGGTCCATGGCCGGTAATTAAGTAAAAACGGAAATAATTGAATCGATGTACCTCCGTGTCTTGAGCAGTTGAACCAGTTGATAATCGGAACGGTTTTTTCTCACCTAAAAATATACAGATGAATTGAAGTAGGAAATTAGAAGTTGTTTTAATTTTTCTCAACCTAATAGATATAAGGCGTCGCTATTTGTCTTCGTGAAGCTCTGGATCGTGCCGGATATTTTAATTTTTATTAATTATTATATTACTGTGAAGCGCTTGAGAACCTTTGTGTAAAGTGCTATATGATAATTTTATTATTATTATTACTATCGTTATTATTTCTGTTATTATTATTAAAGAGCCTGTTAAGTTCGACGGTCACGTGAGAGAGTTTCAAATCAAATCGGCGAAAGGGGTTTACTCTTGCATTCCCTGCTCGCAAAACCCGCGAGAGACAGTTCGTATTTTCAGGCTGTAATTTCAGGTTGTATTTCTACTCTGGCCGTGCCGTCAAATTTAAAACCTTTTTATATTTAATGCTATGTCTCTCTTTAACCGATCAATAGTTGGACTATTGCATAAAGGAAAGCAGACATAAATGTTGCTCTTTCTACGTTAGACTCGCGGTATCTCGAATTCGAGCTTTGAAAGATGAAAGCCTTCGTTCAAGCTCTATTTCGAAGATCATTCTTCGGTGAGGATGAACAGAGCTTGTGGGTCTGGGTAAGAAACGCTGGGCACGCGCAACAGGGTCACCTTTGGGCCTTTGTTTGAGGCGAGGTACAAATTGTTGTCCCCCGGTGCTACGCTCTTGAAAATTGTGTAGCTCCATTGATACTCAGGCATAGACTTTAAATGATTCGTTGGGTTCGGCTGAAAATAACATCCAAAAAATAATATGTAAAGATGAAACATCGCGCGGCTACACAGCCAAGTATCAGTCAGCGCCTGTGAAACTCACTAACAGCATCACGCTGTCACATTAAAGCATATCAAGATGCAGCCAACCAACCTCCAAAGTGAGCATGTAAAGAAGAAACAATTTTAATGTAATAGAAAAATCCGAGCCCCAGATGGGACTTGAAGCTTGAGTTTGACAAGCGCTGACTGACACTTGGCTGTGTAGCCGCGAGATGCGGTTCCGGTCGAGGCCCACAAATTGACCATAGTCACAGTTCACCATAGAGTCTCCAGTAGCTCAGTGGTTAGAGCATCCGACTAGATCAATGAGAGTCGTGGGTTCAAGTCCCATCGGGGGCTCGGATTTTTCTATTATATTATAAAAATAATAATTAGCATAGAGACGTGAGACCTGTAGGTACCTGGCCAACTCAGTTATTACTTTATTGAAGGGAATCATGAACAAATTACAACCACCTTTTAGATGAAGCTTTTATCAATATTTTCTTACAAGGAGGCAGTCATTTCGAGAGTTTGCAGTGAACCTTGAAAGATAATTCACGCAGTTGGCGTGAGAGCTGCACCGGTATTTATACCTTGAGGCAGTCATCAACTCGAGTCCCGTCCAATACGAAGCTTTGTCTTAGTTTTCACGCGTGCGTAGGTTTTGGTTTTAACTGCCATGATTTTATTTGATTTATTGTTACAGTTTTATGTTTTGTTACATTTTTATTTTGTTGCTTTTTATTTTGCTATTATTACTCTATGCATATAACCTATGGTTTTTCCTGCTTATTTATTCATTAGCTTTGACAATGAATGTTGTGGTAATGCTGTCCAACACTAGAAATCGGAGAAATTTTGAGCCCGTTACGAAATGTTAGCGGTATATCGTATTACAGACAATTCAATATGGCGGCGGTGGAAGTGAAGTAATCACGTAACTTTCTGTTTTCGTAAAACCCTACGGGAGAAAAGCCTGGTACCTTTATATCCCAGAAAGCCAAAGGAGGCGTCAAAATAAGGAAAATGGCGGCCAAATTGTGCAGTTACTGGGACTTGTATCTTTCGTGTTCTTCTTTCCCAAAATTGGCGTACTTGGCGTATTTAAAATGGCGTATTTGGCTTTTGAGCTCTGTGAAAATACAAAGAGTTTCCNGAATCAGATTTCCACCCAGCAGTTTTCATTATCTCTTCTATAGGTACCTTGCTGCTCTTTGCCTTAGAGGTAGAGGCTGCTCTTGTGTTGTGTGATTTGAACATTGAGACATCAATGGCTGACTGTTGCAGTACATTTCTGATCCATCGTCTGATGGAGTCTCTTCTTACTGGCATATGCGGTTTTACAACTGTTAGCATTAGTCTTGTTTTGTTCCCTCTCAGATCTTGAGTTCTAGCAAGATAATCTTCACATGTAGTGAAAACACAAAGGTCTTTATTTGGAAATGCTTGAAGCCTAATAATTTGTTCTTTCATTCCCGGTCTAGCTTGTTTAACATGTTCATGTAACAGGAATGTATATGCTGTGGGTTCCTCTACCATGGAACCAATGTCTAACAATTGTAAAGTCTGTCACCTCTGAGGAGTAGCTAGTGCAACAAGCATATCTAGCTTGTGCGTTAACTCTTTAAACGGTAACTTCTCTTTGGGTATTAACGTAGAAAGAAATTTTAACACTAAACTTACATCCCACACTTTCGTATAACGAGGAAGTGATGGTCGAGTTTGGAAAACTCCTTTTAGAAATCTCTTAACATATGGATTGTCTCCAAAAACAACATTGTTAACAGGTAATATATTTACATATAAAGCGGACCTTGCAGTGTTTAAGGCACTGCAACCTAGTCCTTGGAAAAAGAGTTCTGTCAGGAATTCTATGGCTTGCTCTACAGGTGGTGAAATTGGATTAATCTGCCTTTGAGTACTGAACTAAACCCATCTTTTAATGTATGAGTCATATTGAGCCTTTGAAGATAGTCTCCAGGAAGACAAGATAATATTGGTTGCTGCATGAGAAAATCCTTGCTCTCCAGGGAGTTCCTGATAATAGACATGCAACTAATCTCATTTTCTTGTGCAAGGGGTGAGAGCAGTCTTTCTATGTAGGTAACATGAATGTTTGATTGGGGCTTTCCCCTGGCACAAAGTCAATATGACAATGTCTTACACAGTATAGAATGTGCACAGCTGAGGTTAATTTTTCCCATTCATGTGCAAATTGCTTTAACCTGCCTGCTTGAAAAGGTTTGGCTTTAGAAAATAAAGATTGACTTCTTACCCCATTGGAGATAGAAGTTTCCTTGTCATCATTCTGGTTCAGTTGGTTTGATCTTTGCCCTCCCCCTTTCTCTTTTGGCGGTAGGAGGGCCTAAAGGACTTTAAATCCTTCTTGTTGTGATTATAATCTCTGTTCTTGTAGCCAAATCCTTTGTATTTCTTAAATGCATGTTTATATGATGACCTATCTTTGTTGTTCGAGTATTTCCTCGATGAACTTAGCCTACTAGCTACTCTGTTAGCTTCTGCCATATCCTTTATATACTGCGATAAATCGCTACCGAATAAAAATTCGGTGACTGGTACTGTGGGTGAACATAGGTGTTTATACTCTTGGTTCAAGTCAGGCTTTATAGCCTCTCGTCGCCTCATGTTCAATTCATGAGTAGCACATGCAGTTAACGCTATTACGTCTGATAGCTGTTTCATAAGAGCGGGTACGTCTAGTATGTCTTTAGGGATTTGATCCTGTACTTTGTTGAGGGCCTCAATGGCTTGTACTGACGGTATGGCACTCTTAATTATCAGAGTTTGAACTTTCTGCAGTTTTATATCAGCAGATCTTGTTTCTGACCTTAATTTCTCCCAAATTAGCGGGTTGACTTTCACGGTCACGAGACTATCGCAATTCTCGGGCCGTTGGTAGGCCTTTAGCCTCTCGGCTTGAACTTCGTCTGATAGTCGTGTTTGCACTACGCCATTTACGACTTTTGCAAGTTGTTCGGCCACTTTGGGCGGGCACTTTTCCTCTAGTTTTAGAGATTGTGCAATGTCATTTAGTGTGCCTTCATCTTTGCTCGATTCAGCTAGTGTTATCCTCACACTCAAGCTGAGCTTTTGTTTTCTTCGGCACGGGCACGTCTCCCGCCATTTCTTCTGGTCGCTTCTCAACGACTCTCTCTTCGTCATCATCGAAGATTTCTCCTTCCTCCGTTATTCTCGGCAGCACATCAGTAATTCTACTGAAAGATGGCTGCATTGATTGTTGCATTGTAAGCATGTTTTTAGAAAGGAGTTCTCCAAATTGTTGGAGTTCAGAGGGCTTTACAGGATTATCTGTAGCCATGTGTGTTGTGAATGTGCTTGGGCTTGGCGCCAAGCCATCTACGTGCTGTTCTGTCGTTTTTTCACCTTGAGACACGCTGAATGGTCGATCTTCACATATGGTTTTGCCCTTAGAAGTAATTTCTAGGGCTTCCTTCGGCATTTTCCTCAATTAAGAGGTTTTTAGTCGTAGTTTATAGCGAGGATTTCAATCGAGTTGTCGATTAATCGGCGGTAAAAATGCACTGAATAGCGTGGCGGTAAGTGCTTTCTCACGTGACTCTGCAGTGCATGATGACGAGGCAGAACCTATCGTCAAATGTGGGAGGCGGAGAGACCTAAGTAGAGTAACTTTACCAAATTTTAATTTGTATCTGCCGACTTCGTGTAAACTTTAATCCTAACCGTGTTTTCAAATTCTCTTCTTATTTTTAGTTTGACTGATAAGCCGATAAGAAGTGGATCATGTCACATAGAATGTTGATATTTTAACGTACTTAACCTTTCAAGGGAAGGATTTCGTCAAGAAAGATATTTTCCTCTAGTCATGAGCGTGAGACAAAGAAAAACTTTTGAGTCCCCATGAGGAATCGACCCTCAGACCTTCGGATTCCGCGCTCCGATGCTCTACCACTGAGCCACAGAGACTCTATGGGGTGAGCGAGGCCCATTACGAAGTTCATATACGACACGCGTCCTGCATACTGCTAGGATTGGCATTATCGTATATTAATGTGTCATATACGAACTTCTTAATGGGCCTTGCCTTATCTTCATCTTATAAATTCTACACCTATGCGAAGCATAAAAACTCAACAGTTTTTTAATGTTTGTTGGTTTTGCCGCACAGTGATGTGCTTAGTATGATTTTTATGAGAGTGATACTCAGATTTGATTTTATTCTCTACCCATGTCTGTTTTTTACCAATTTCAAGATGGCTTACCTTTTTATTAAAAATAGAAACAAAAAAGATGTACATTAAAAGAGAATGTTGCGTGTAGCCGGATATGTAGGAATGTGAGTCGTGAACCAAAGTTGACGAAGATTACTATCGAATACAGATAAACGATCATCACTCCATTCAGAAAGTTTGATATGTTTTCTGAATTGTTAGAGAGATAAAGCATCCAGAAGTTTGTTTGAGAATGCTCCAAGCCAAAAGCGTCGAAAAACGAGGATTTTTTCGGTAGATGGTCGCGTGTGAAGTACAAAAACGATGCCCGCCCACTCTTTGTAAGCCCCAGGCTGCACGACATAAGCAGATATTTTCTTTTCTCCCTACAATAAGTCGATATCAGCTCACGGTAGGAATTTTGAGTAGGATTCTCGTCTCACACGCATTTAAATGAAATTATCACACTTACATCAACGTCTTGAAGAAGAGGTGACATTCACACAAATACTAGAAATGAATATAGGACTCAGCTGGACAATTAGAGAATTTAAATAACTTACAACATTGAAAAGCATGAATTGCACTGAGTCTCAGATCAAAGCTTTGTTAACAAAAACCTACTTAGCTTTACATGTACACACGCATACGATACGCTGACACTAATATACTCACTGTTGTTATGCCGTCCGCTATCAAGGTCTGTCGAACACAGTTAAGTTTTGAAAACACGACTTTATTTCCGGCGCCTGCTAGGTTTGAGAGGGTTCATTCACCGTTGACCAGAGATTATCGACTCGATCCAGACTTTGGCTGTATGCATGGAATGCATTTGTACCGACAAAGAGTCAAGCAAAGGGAGAAAAAGTTTCTATCTCATCAATCAATGTGAAGAACGTCAATTTAAGATCGAGGTTTGTATTAACTACTAGCTTCATAGTTTACTTTTCTAAAACCAGATTTTCCTTGTATTCTGCTCCCAGACAATATTTTCCTTACGGACTTCTTACTTCATTTTTTATTAAGCTATGTTGACCTTGGCACGAAGCCGAGGACATACCTGCACGAAACCTAGGACACATCTTGAAGGCAGCCACCACAATAGTAAAAATGGCGAATCGATGTCAGTATCTGAGCAGCTGCTCCCCCACCCCTCCCCTTACCCCAAATTAACCCTTCCTTTTTAATAGTTGGCTGTAGTTGGGTTAGGGGAGGGGTGGGTGCACAGTTAGTAAGATAATGATCATGACATCGATCCAAACATAACGATTCGATAAAATGCCCTCTAACACCTGGTTTCAGCCGAGAAGATTCGATTAAAATCTCACCAATGTGTTTAATCAGCGGATAATATAACATAACCGAAAATCGCACCAACAAAAAAGACAATCATACGACTAAGTGAATTAGTCCTGATATTTTGTTGTACACGCTGTTCACAAGCACGTTTATAAGCTGTAGGAGAAAGAGCCGCTGTCCTTGCATAGAACGCCATGGTCAACGACTCGATATCTTTCGAGTAGGCAGAGAAGAATTGGGAGTGAGTAGAGCCTCTTCCCTCCCCTCCGTCCCCCAAAAAAGAGGAACTACTTATGAACGTCCATTATGTTTATGTTTACCGCCTCGTTCAGCAAGCGACATGATAAAACCGCCTTTCATGTATTTTAGTTAGCTTTAATGGAAGCTAACACTGGGTGAAAAAACAGATTTGACGTCAGACAAATGCAGTCCAAATGTGGCTCACGTGTGATGTTTGTCATATTTGTCAGTATTTGACTTGAAGACAAATATGACATTTGTCCTAAAGATAAATAGGATAATTGTGCATTTGCTTTTGGGTGTAAATGTGGACAAATGAGGTGTAAATCTGAGTTAAATATCATGATTTGTCCTGCTCTAAACAAGGACAAAAGATAACATTTGTAAGAACAAATTCAGGACAAATGTAGAACAAATATCATCTTTGTCATGGAATAATCCAAAATTCTCTTCCCCTCCATTGATCCTGTTGTCAATTTACACAAAATTGCTTTTTCAACATGTTATTTCAGTATTAGGGCTGCAAGTGCCCAATAATACACTGCATTTAATAAAATATCAGAAATTTCATTATTTCAGTGTCCAATCATCTCACACCCACAGTCCTGACTAAAATCAACACACATGAATGTATAGTAAATGGAAAATTTATTTAACATTTCTCCTTTTCTACATCTCACAAGCAAAACCATTTCTGTTAAAGAAAATTAACATTTAATAAATAGATATATTTAATCAGCCCCTGTCCACTTATAAATTATATACCATTATGTGATACAGAATATAACCTCAATAATGGGGAAAAGCTACAAGGCAAGTTTAAAATATAACATCATTGATCTTAAATCTTTACAACACTCCTGCCAGCTGGACGTTCTCAACAAAACATTTTCACATGAACTGTACTTAGTGTGTAATGATTCATAAAGAGGAGTTACTTCCAAAAAAACTCCTACTCAGGCACTGCCGGCCCTATCAGTTTCAATACAGTAGGTTCTTTTTTCAAAAGGCATTAAAAGTACCGAACATCATCGCAACATACCAATTAGTCTTTCATCACATTACCAACACAGCTAATCCTACAAATTACTGTCAAACTGCTGGTAATTTTTTTTTTTTTATGGGAACTCATCAATGTTATGATGCAATGTTCCAATATTGATTGACAGTTTGCTACATGAAAGTAGCAACAGACTCATTTCATATTGGCAAGCGAGGAATTTAACCAAAAAAGTCATATTTCACGTGACTTCTTTTGAAGTGTGATTTCCTGACAATGGCAATTTGAATGCTAAATTCTTGCAGTCTGTTATGTTGATAAACAGGCAAACATTGAGCAATTTTAYGCAGTGTTTCTTAATAACTTAGGGCCGGCAGTGCCTGAGTAGGAGTTTTTCGGAAGTAACTCCTCTTTATGAATCATTACACACTAAGTACAGTTCATGTGAAAATGTTTTTGTTTCTTACGAAACGAGAAGGCATGCGATCAAAACCCACACAAAGCGGAGGTATTCAAAAGGAAAGGTAGCATATTACTTCACTAAATCAATTCAAATGCTACATTTAACGTAGAAATTATCAGAGTAGGAGATGTTGAACTGAACCCCCAGGTGTTATTAGAAATCCCTGATCAGTATGTGGCAAATCGGTAGCAAGAACTCACCGAGCCCTCGACTGCTCGACGTGTAAATTACAATCCCACATTAGGTGTAGTTCGATTACACCTACCCTGTAACGTGAGCTTTTGGCGAGGGAAAATTACTACTGGGAATGTTCCTCCTGCTTATGGAGAAGTGCGTTAGGGTCACTGCCATTTAACGGAATCGACGACACACAATTTCTACAAGAGATTCAATGCAGAAGTCAAATCGAGGATGACAACGATGAATACCTACAGGAGTTCACAAACTTGCTACTAACGCTAACGCAAAACATCTTAAAATAACACACTTAAACGTCCGCGGCTTAAGGGGAAAGTGGATGAATTACGAATCCTTTTAAAACTATGCCGGTTTGATGTATTCGGCGCAACGGAAACGCATTTGACAAGCGAAATCGCCGATAGAGAAATAAATATCGAAGATTATAGTCTCGTTCGAAGAGACAGACCAGGAAGACAAGGCGGTGGTTGCGCGGTATATTATCGCAAGTCGCTAAAAGTTACTCATCGACCGGACTTGGAAGATAATAAAGTGGAAGGGATATTTATGCAAGTTAAGGCTGGCTCAAGAGATACCATGGTAGGAATTATATACCGGCCACCGAATCATAATAGTGAATTTTTCACAGTCTTTCCAAACCTGCTTGAAAACGTCTGGTTAAAATTTTCAAATATGGTACTTCTTGGAAATTTTAATACCAATCTACTTCAGAACGAACGTGGAGACACATCGTATGAAGGAAAGAAGATGGAAGGGATACTCGCTCAGTTTAATCTGAAGAACGTGATAGAAGGGCCAACAAGAATCACTAACTATTCTAAAACATTGATTAACCTTATTGTCACGAATAGGAAAGATTTGGTCAAACAAAAAGGTTCCTATCACCTGGGTATCTCAGATCATGACATTATTTATGCAACCTTATCAGGTAGCATCCCAAGAGACCCGCCTAAAATAATTACCATCAGGAACTTCAACAAATTCAGTGAAAGAAATTTTCAAAGTGACATTGCCCGTGCGCCCTTTCAAGTTTGCGAAGTATTTGACGATCCCACTGATGTTTATTATTCATGGACCTGCTCTTTACAGAATTGTGCAACGAACACGCGCCATTCAAACAAATAAAAGTACGCAGTAACAGCCTGCCCTGGATAACAAAAGAAATTAGAATGACTATGAATCAGAGATATAAGGCTCTGAAAAAGGCACGTCAAATAAACGATCCGCTACTAGGGGATGATTACAGAAGACTTAGAAATAAAGTATCACCAATGACGAAAAAAGGGCTTCTACTATTTTGCGAAACGAAATGAAATTGTACTATTTTGCGAAATGAAACGAAACGAAATTTTGCGAAATGGCGTTTTTTCGCCTTTATTTAGCAAATGTGTCCTCTTCGTCCGAAACAAAATGTTTCCACTAATAAAATGATCAATATTTCTAAGATGAATAAAGGCTGATAGTTTCGAAAGAAACTGTTTGGGGCTGCGTCGGTGGGAGTAACGAAATGATTGAGATATATCAACAAAGTTGAAATGGTAAATTAGCCACCGTAATGATTACAAAAGCTGACGTTTCGAGCGTTAGCCCTTCGTCGGAGCGAATAGAGGAAATGTGGGTTGTGTGTGCTTTTAACGTAGCTCCACTTTCTGCCTTTAAAAGCACACACAACCCACAATTCCTCTATTCGCTCCGACGAAGGGCTAACGCTCGAAACGTCAGCTTTTGTAATCATTACGGTGGCTAATTTACCATTTCAACTTTGTTGATATATCCAAATTATTTCGTTACTCCCACCGACGCAGCCCCAAACAGTTTCTTTCGAAACTATCAGCCTTTATTCATTTGTATTTTGATTGCTGCGACTACTAACTTTTGTCTTAGCATTTTTCAATNTAGACAAAAAGACTTTCAGACCGGTCACCGTACTACCTGCCTTTGCCAAGGTGTTCGAGAAAATCATTCACATGCAGATGACGGAGCATTTTGAATCTATTTTTCATGATTCCATGTTTGCATATGGAAAGTTTCATGGTTGCCTGGCGGCACTTTTAACTTTAACGGAAGACCGGAAAGCGGAACTTGACAAGCGCAAGGTCATCGGAGAGGTTGCTACCGATCTTAGCAAGGCTTTTGACTGCCTTCCACACGAGCAGCTTCTCGAGAAGTTAAAGTTTTATGGTGTGAACGACAATTCAGTGGCACTCTTACGAAGTTACTTATCTTGCCGTTATCAACGTGTTAAGTCGGGCCATACCTTCTCTACCTGGATGGGTGTGTCGGCAGGAGTGCCGCAGGGGTCCTTACTTGTACCACTATTGTTTAATATTTTCATGAATGATCTTACATTTGCTATTAGAGATTGTGGGCTGATAAGCTACGCAGATCACACTAAACTCTATCTATCGCACCAGGATTCCAAAGCTGTGGAAGACGGTATAAATCAAGACCTGACTAACACCATACTGTGGTTTCAACAAAATGGCATGGTAGCTAATCCGGATAAATATCAGGCTCTGGTGTTGGGAAACACGGCTCACAAATACGATACAAAATGCGAAGAAAGGCCCATACTTGTTTCCAGCGAGATACGGCTACTAGGCGTAATATTAGATAATAGGTTGAAATTCGATTCTCATATCGCATCTATCTGCCGAAAGGTAGGAGGACAAGTTAATGCCTTGAATAGGCTTAAGAATGTTCTGCCTTGCAAAACCA